AGAGCAAGCCTTGGCTTTGTCCAGCTTTGGCTCAAGCAGAAAGCCTTCTGCCAGCTCTCCCAGGGGCAAGGCTAGGAAAGCTGCTCGCAGTGCCCAGGCAACCCAGCACACAGGGTACCCTAGCAGGGAGACAGCTCCAGCTCTTCGAGCCCTCCCAACTTCTCCAGTAACAACAGAACAACCCACAGTTCGTCTCACTTTTATTTACATAATTGCACAGCCCATTTCCTCACGACACTGGAACGTGGCAGGTCAAAGACATTGATTTCCCACATCCCCCAGAGCTGAGCGTCTCCACTGGGAAGGAGGAGAAGGTTCAAAGAGGCGCTATCAGCTGCTGCAGTGGCACATGCAACAACTCCAATTATTGGCAACTATGATAAAGACAACAGAGCAGAGAGTGAAGCCACAACCCTGCAGCAGCACAGGGCCAGGCCCCATCTGCCCCAGCCAGGGACTTCTGGCTTTCACAGTTGCATCTTTGGATCAACATCGGGTTTCCCAGCTGAAACACCAGCCCCATTAAGTCCATACTATGGGAACGCAGTGTGGGAATGCACATCCTCAGATACTAGAGGCGTTAGCGCCAGCACTAGATGCGTCAGAAGATCAAGCTCCTGGGAGGCAGCCAGGGATGGGAGGGTTAAACTAGACCCCCAGATTCAGATTGTTGTTGCTCTGGAAATATCCTGGCGACATGAGTGTCGCTGGGGAAGGGCTGAAGCGGGGGGGGGGCCCAGCACCAGGCACAGAGCGGCAATGCAGCGCTCATTGCCAAGGGAAGGGGTTTGGGGAGGGAGGCAGCGCCCACGCAGGAGCTGCGGTGCCTGGAAGCAGGGCTGAGCCCCTCCAGCAGCACAGCCGGCACAGCTGGGGAGCAGAGGGGCTACCGCATGGCCCCCGCACACACGCAAACCTCTGCACGGTGGGAGCAGCAGGCTAGAACTGTTAGCAGCAGGAGCAGCTACTCTGCAAAAGCTGATTTGAAATGAGTGCTCGTAGGACATTACTGCTGCCCAGTGACCGTGATTGCAGCTGGACTGAGGAGGCCTCTCTTTACTGTAAGCCTCTAGGAGCAATGCGGGCCAAATCATCCCAAATTACAGAAAAAAGGAAGGAAGGGAAAGAAAGGAAGGTGCCCACAAGTAAGTGGGGAAAGGGAACAGACCAGACCTTTCCAGGGGTCTGGAAGAGAGAGGGGAGCAGCTGTGGCAGAAAGCCTTTGTCCCCATGACCAAACACATGATCTGACCCTTGTGCTCAGAGCAGAGAGCAAACTGGACCACCATATGCAAGCCCAAGGCTGGGCAGACAGAGGTTGCTGCAAAATGTGCTGGGATATCATTGAGTCATGCAAAGAAGCCTGGGACATGAGATAAAGGAGGAAAGCGGACACATGCCCTGGGGTTGGAGCCATCCTGCTGGGGACACAGGACACTGGCTACTGCTGCTCATGCCCACCAGGGGCTTCCAGTCTAACAGGGCACTAGACCGATCCACCTGCATTCAGCAAAGAGAGCAGAGGAACATGGTGCACACCCATGCCCACCACAAGAACAGGGGCACTGCTGGAGCCTACTTTCGCCCTGCTATCTACGCTCTCTGGTGCAGGAATCTGAGCCAAGGCTCATGTCAAGCAGCAGCACATAACCCTGGAGCACTCAGCAGGGCAGTGCCAACGCAGGCATCCTTACAGCCCGCTCTGCTAGCAGGGCTCTGGAGAGCACAGCACCAAATGCAGGCATCGTCTGGCACGGTGGGGAAGCAGTGGAGAGGCAGGGACAAAAGCCAAAGTCAGGAAGAGAGACTCCACACCAGGTGCTAAAGACCTTTGGCAGATCAGCCCCTCCAAGACAGAGGGGTTTGTTAGCTAGGTGCATGCAGGTGGATGGAGGAGGAAGAGGAGCACTGGCCCTGCAAGAGAAGGGACCCAGAGCCTGTGCTCCTCCAGGAACAAGTGAACTTGGGGCATTTCTCTAGTGGACACAGATAACAGGCAGGCAGCCATTTCAGGGATGAACTAAACCATAGCAGCTCCTCTGGCTTTCACCAAGGAATGTGCAAGTAAAGTGTACAGAGGCAGCCGAGGCTGCCTTCATCCTGCCAAGCAACTGTGGAGTATGGCCTGCCCTAGTAAGGTATGTGCGGAACTGAGTAACGAGAGGTCCAGCCTCAAGACACTGAAAGGACACCAGTAAACAGAGACTCTAGCTCTCACCTCCTGGGGTCAGAAAAGGTCCTTTCTGAGCCTTCTAACAGCAAAAGGCAATGGTGAGTTTAGCTAGTACAAACCATCACTTCCCACCCACAGATCCTCCATCTACCTTTGCTAGAGGGACTTTCATACCAAGAGCTGAGCACATCCACGTCCTGAGGATGAGCAGGTTCTGGGAAGAAAGTGTTTTGTGAGATCACATCTGCACAGGAAAGAATTTTCTCATTCAAAACTTCTTTTGAAATTCTCAAAATTACAGTATTTTACAGTACAAAATGTCTCCATTCAGTATTATGTCATTTTACTCCTTCTGGGATTATAATAATTATTAAAAACACACAACTTCGTAGAAAGGACAGAAACACCACAAAAGAGACCAAAGAATAACGGCAAAGGCTGCTGCAACATTGTCAAAACCCATGTAGTGCAAAGGAGAAGAATGACTTTCAAGAACGGTCAATGAAAAGTGTTCTTTAAATGCTCACTTGGAGAAAAGGCATAGATTTAACCTCTGAATGAGATCAGGCTGCCAGCTTCTATACTGAAGCTTAGAACATCAACACAAAAGGACTGAAACACGATCTGCATGGCCATTAAAAAATAATATTATATATAGATATACATATATAGGGGGAGAGATTTTCCACATATGGTATTTAGTTATAGGAAAGTGTCCCTGCAGACAGGCACATTTGCCATCGGGCTCTTTTGGGCCGTTTCACACGACAGACTTTTATCATCTGTCTGTTTGCTGTAGCATAAAGTACGTGCTAACTGCAAAGTCCCTTTGGGTGGGATGACTGTTTCTTAGCGCCTCCACAGCTATCACGTTCGTGGCATGCACGTGGAGATCTGAACCTCTTTCCTGTTGCCAGCCCCAAAGGGCTGCCCCTGCCCCGGCCGTAGGTGCAGCCTCACAGCACAGTAGGCAGCGGCCGAGGGACAGATCAGACGGTGGTTTCATCCGCGGTCTTCTTCATGAGCTTGGCAGAGAGCAGGGAGTGGGGCATGGGGTGAGGGCTCCGCGAAGCTGGGATCATCAAGCGGACTTTCTGGTTGGTCCTTCGCCACTCCGAGTACAGCTGGCAATGGTAGCGGAACGAAACCTGGTGGGCAACAACGCATCGGTCTGGTTACCATACTCCCAGCAGAAATGCCGGAGCCTGTAGGGGGCTGGCGAGACACCAGCCACCCCATCCATTCTAGTCATGCTTTCTGGCTATTCCAGCACCGCTCCTAAGCAAAGGAAGCAGCATTAACCCCAAAACGGTTTGGGGTGCTCCATGTCCCAAACCTTTAATGAGAAATCTATCTCGCACTGACACCAGTCTGAGACAGCCAAAGGGGCTTCCCAGGCAGCACCAGGACAGAGGGCCAGAGTTTACTCAGCTGGGTTTGGGAAACAAGCCACAGAGACATGGCAGGGAGGAACCATAGTTGGCCCCTTCATCCTGGGCATGGGCTGAAGCAAGCTCCGGGGCTGGACTAAACCAGGGGTTCTCAATGGGATCAGCCTAGAAGTGGCTGAATCCAGCCAAACTCCTCCAGCCTTACAGATCCCAGTGGATCTGATGCACCCTCTGCAGAAACCTTCTCTCCTTGCTCTGCAATGGCAGGACTTTAGTTGATCTTTTACCATCATTTCTTCTGACAACGCTCTTGCTCAGGAGATGGTCAGTTCTATGCACAGCCCACCAGAGGGAGACAGGAGAGGACGCCACGGCTGGACAGGACCTGCAACAGCCTGCCCAGCAGCAGGAGCTGGCCCTGTGGGGAGAGCTTTCAGCTTGGCTTCCCCAGCTGGCTGGGCTCCTTGCTTTGCCCTGCTGCAATCATTAACCCCACTACACATTTTTTCCCAGCTCCTCCTGCTTCCTTAGCTTTGAAATTACACTCTTTTCTAGAAATTTTTGAGGAATAAAATGTGACTGTGTGCGACATAAAAGGAACAAAGAGAGCAGGTATTTTCCTTGCATTTTTTTCCCTCAAAAAAGGGAAATTCCCTTCCTCTTGTGAGGAAGAAAATTAAATACTTAATCTAGTCAGCCACTCTTCAAAACCAAAGTTTTTTGTTTTGCAGAAGTAAAGGAAACATCATGCGTCATTTAGCTGGTATACCTGACAAATAAAAAGTCAGTACCCCTACTACTTTTGGATAGTACTCACACATGCTACCAGAGATGGAGCTGGGCCGTGCATGGGGCAATTTAGCCTATTCACCTGTACGCTCCCATCTTTTCCTAACATAGAGATGCAACTGTGGAAATAATGGGATTTACTTTTACATGAGAAGTAGATGCCTCTTGTAGCATTGCTGTAGTGTTCAGAGACAGTGTGCAAATGGAGAGTTAATAAGGCAAAATTCAAGGAAAGCTCCTGCTCCATAGGAAGGAGCAGTAGCCCTGACCACAGCATCTCCCACAAACCTCACGCTGGGGCTCTGACCACAGCGCATCACTGTCGACCCGCATAACAGCCCTCTGCGCTGCACAGCCCACAGTGGCACAGAGGTATTGCAATAGCCTGTTACAGTAAGTCTGAATAACGGGGCTCCAGATCAGTCCCAGGACAGAGAAGACAGAAGCACTTCCTCTTAAGCTTTCCAGTTGTAGCTCAGCTTCCTGCAGAAATGAAGCTTACGCAACTGTGCGTCAGAGCATGTACATGCAGCGCTGGGGTTCTCCCTTGACAGTTCCCTAGTGCATTGCAGTTGCTGCCTGTTTTGACAGCAGCACAGATCACACGCACTCAGTGCACTGGCTGCTTCCTATGCGCACCCCACCGAAGGGGAGGCTGCAGCACCAGCTCACCCTTCACCAGAGCCCATGTAGGAGAGCTGCAAGGAACGTCCAAACCCCAGGGAAAGCTCAGTTTCTCTGAGAGATCAGCGCACAAGGTGGCAGGGAACCGGGCTGTGACTGGGCTGCCCACAGCACGGCCAGCTTTTCTGGGCCCCACTCTTTCACCCCTGGCCACTGTGTCTCCTCCCTTCCCAAGATGGTGCTTCCCAGCAAGCAGCCAGAAAAGGGTACCAAGAGGGTGTGAGTACATGCCAGGCTTGGAAGGAGGAGAGCTGAAATGAAAACCCAAACCCTGAAACCCACACCAACAGAACATGAAAGAACTGGGTGGGAAACAGAAGAAAGTCCCCAGCCTGGGAGCCGTCAGAGAGAACAGGAGCAGCTCGGCTTGGGGAGCCTGCAGGGGCTCTGGGAGCAGCAGGGCAAGGAGCTACTCCCTAGCCCAGATGCTCCTCTGGGCTCTCAGCTGGGAGAGCTCACGGACGTGCTACACAGCAAATTCATATTTGCTTTCCTGCTCTTACGGCCCTGCTCCAAGCTGCAGGCTCCTGGCTGCCTAACACAGCATGTGTGAAAGGACGCAAAGCAAGGCATCTGTGGGAAACCCTTTCCCAGCACAGATCAGTGAAGCATCCAGGCAGAACCAAGTGCCGATTCCCACTAATCCTTGGTTCCTCTAACCCCCATAACGTAGCAGTAAAACAGCAGTGGTGGGCCAGGGCAGCCTGCCTACCCAACCTTGGCTCAGAGCTCTGCGCCTGAAAGCCCAGTTCGAGAAGGGAGGCAGAGCTCTGCCCAGGTCAGCGTACTCCTTACACACACCCTTGTGTGCTACTGACATTTCAAAAATACATTTGTAGATATTTATTTAGCTATGGGCCACAGAAACCCCAGACAACCAGTTGACGGGCTGGCACCTCCTTCCTCCTTGCTACTGCTCCTCTGAGTATGGCCCCGCTGCACTGGGTGGCACAAAGAGTGAAGGGACATGGTGGAAGGTTCCTTAGGATCAAATGTTTTCCAGGGTTTTTTTTCTTAAACCACCGAAGCGCCAAGTCTGTGTTTCTTCTCTTACTTTAAAATAGCAATAGGCACAACAGCTAGATTGATGCCTGCCCCCAGCGCCAGCGCTTTCCACCCAGCCTCAGCCATGCTCAAGCCTGTCTGTGCCTGGATACCTTACAGCCCACGGAACATGGCTCCCATGTCAATCTGGAAAGCAGATGATCAGGAAGTGGTTTCTCATTCTCAGGCACAGCCAGCAGCTCATTTTCAAGCAACAACTTTAGCAGCTCCCATTTAAAGACAATTAAATGGACATTCAAGAGAACGAGCCAGAGCTTTGCTCAGGAGGGCAGTCAGAGAAATGGCTGGCTGCACCAAAGCGGTGTGAGCCAGTACTCTGACCTCCCTTTTTAGCAGAACAAGACCCCAGGCAGTGGAGAGCGAGGCTCTCTCTTGCACACTCACCAGTGTCCAAAGGACGTAGATTGTAAAAAGTGCTATAGTTAGTGCTATGAGTCCAATGGCCTCCAGTCGGCTGTTGAACTGCAAATGATCCTGGGCTCCACGAAGACACAGCCAGCCTGAGATCGCTGCCAGAGGAGTAATGAACAGGAAACACACCATGTCACAGAAAAGGGTCCTCTTCTCATTGCGGGGACCAGGATCCTTCAGCCACTGCAGAAAGGAAAGGAGAAAGGGCATTAGTCAGCGCTGTGCTGGCAAAGCAGGACTGCTGCCCCGGCAAGCTCTCAGGTGCTCTCTGCAGTCTGCAAAGTACCTGGTGGATACACTTAACTCACAGAAACCTTCATCATAATAGGGCTAGAAAGCTCCAAGCGTATCTTTAACAACTAACAAGGGAAAAGGAAGCAACAGCTGAAGAATGTGGGGGGGGGGAGGGGAAGGCATCAGGAAACACAGGAGCAGCCTGGGCTCTTCCCTAGAGTAGCAAAGCCCAGCATGAGCTAGCAGACAGAGGGAGGTTGGTTTAGTGAAGTTTGGTCTAGTGAAGCTCCGTCAGGTCTTGGACTGAGCTTCAACAGAAACATATCCATGTCTCTACAGCTAGTGTATGGACTTCAGGAAATCAGGGGCTGCAGGGTCTGTGGCCAGACCAAGCCACCAGGCCAGCTGTCCCAAATCCAACACTAGTTCCTTTTGGAGAACCTTGGCATTTTAGGCTGTCACTCCTCATTTAAATCAAAAGCAAATCTGAAATATCCAGATTCACCTGTGAGACTGTGCAAGGAGACAGCTGGGCAGATGGAGTACTCTCAAGGGTACTGCACTGTCCTCAGGGCCCGCTGGAGCTGAGGCAGCACTGCTCCCCAGGGAGTCCAGCTCCCACTCGATGCCACCAGTGGGAAATGCAAACACCCACATATTCAATATTTTCACTGAGTTGATGACAGAGAGGGAAAAAAAAGCATATCATTTTAGCAACTAAGTTACCTAAATGCATGGGCTGGAAGACCCCTTACCTGATCTCCCCAACTCCAAGTCTGGAGTTACTATGGGGTTGCCTGCTTTCAAACAGGCAGCGTTAAAAGGGAACAATTTGAGAACTCTGAATACAAAGTCCCTTCCCTAAGAGAGAAATCACAGTGTAAAAAGAAAGTGATACAGAAGTGCTGGTGGCAGACATGCAAGAAGTAAATGGGACAGGACCAGCCGAAGAAGAGCACTGGCAACCCGAGTGCATGGCTGGACAGAAAGATAAGCAGAAAAGGTTTGCCTTGGAGGGGCAGCATGGAAGGATGTATGTAACTTCGTGCAGATTTAACCAAGGGGAGAGAGCCTAACATCAAGGACCAACAGTGAGACACAAGAGAAGGGTGAAGAAAGGCTCTGAAGTATAGACAAATAACTCCTGTGAGCTGGAAAAGAGAAGGAGCAGATGGTGAATAGGGGCAAGGAACAGCAACGTGGCTGTGGCATCAGATCCGCAGCAGTGGCGTGCTCTCCGGGCACCTGCAGTGGGATGATGAGCCGGACAAGGCCAGAGGAGAGGACACTGCAACAACAGATAAGAGTCTGGCCAGGAATTTCAGCTGGGAGGACTGGTAAACAAGGCTGTATGTTAGAGATGTGATCTGATGCGTCCAAGAGACCCAGGCAGAGCATGAACGAGTGAAGCTAGGGAGCAAGCTGAAGAGCAAAGAGATCTGGGGCCCGAGTGGTGTTCCTGCAATAAAAACGGGCAAGTTTAAAGCATTTTAAAAGCCATGCTGAGCACAACTGGATGGTCAGACAACCACAAGGAAATTTCACAGCGGCCACAATCATGGTTTGGACATGCGGAACTGAGTGCGGGGCGGCAGACCTGCAAGTCACCCTCTGCGTGGCTTTGCAGATAAGATTAGTGGGCGATGAGCTGTGGTGGGAAGAAAAAGACCACATACACAGTCCTGAGCAACCTCAAGAGGAAGCGAGGGTGGACGACAGCTCATCTGCACAAGTAAAACTGCTCCTACAAACAGCATGTTGGCAGCCCTCTCATTCAACCTTTCACACACACACCCTGCACATGCCTGATTTCCCTACTGCAGACAGCAAAGGCCTTCCACCAGCCTGCCACGGCTATACAGCACTCGGGTGGATGCTCAACTGCCTCGACCTGGACCAACAACCCTCCAGCAGCAAATCCCAGAGCATCCCATCCCTGTAAACTTTTGACCCTTGTATAATAAGAATCTCAGGGACTGAGGGCAGCTAAATATTTTACTGTATCCTATTTTGTTTACATGCCTTGTGACCTTTGAAACTCCCCCTTCCTCCCCAAGACGGGAGCCAAGCATGGAAAGGCAGGAAGCAAATTAATTTCCTTTTGAAGTAGTTGATTCACTTGGCCAATATGCATCAACACAGCAAAAAGAGAATACAATAAGCCACCTTAAGGGTGCAGGGGTTTTGGCATAGCGGCAGATTAATGCACATGGGACTTAAAATAAACCTTGCAAACAATCCAAAAGTGTTCAGATTGAACAATTTT